GCATGAGGCAGCGACAGAAGATGCAATGCATTTTGGGAGTTTTCACAGGGAATTCAAGTGATCAGTTATTAGGATCTTAAATCAGCGAAAGGTTGGCAATCTGAGATAAAAGAAAGAGGACGTCATTTCATTTTTATACAACCTGTACTGGTGACTTTTTGTCCTTGTGGGTGTGTGGATTTTGTAATATGACTGTAAATAAAAGAGTACTTTTGACTCATGAGCCTTTCTGGCCCTTCTTGATACTTTCACCCAGTTGTGCATGAACCTGCACATTGCAGAAGGGGATTATAGCGTGTCTTTGTGACACTTCTGCACACGCTTTAACGACTCTTGTTGTGAAATTGCTCCAGCACCTGGCCTGTCTAACAGCAGAGATAGGCAGTGAAACTGAAGTCTCGCCCCCCATATTCACTTGCATCTCTGCCTACCTAAAGCAAGATGGTGAACCAGGTTTCTGGTTTGCAGAAATATGTACACTTGCTGTCTAACAGGCCTGCAGGAGACTGGTGCACAAAAGGTGTAAATGAAAACAGAAACCTTTTCAATTGAACTGAATGATAAGTGTGCCCCGCTTGTTGCTGGAACAGCTTAATTCTCTGTCTTTATCGTGTGTTTTTGACACTTAAGGGAAGCCATTGCTTAGTTTCTCACCCTTTTGACATAAAAGATATATAAAATTGCTTTGTCTCAGCTTCTGCAGGATCTGTTAAGAATTCTGTTGCAGATAGACTTCAACAAATTCTGAGACTTCTTTACTTCAAATGTTGTCTTATAGGTGCTTGCTAAAAAAACTTATCAGATGGTTGTGCCAACTTAACCTTTTAAAGACCTCCTGAAGCTCCCATTTAGTTATTAATTTGCAGTTTTCTGACCTGCATTCAGTAACTGATGAAATGTGAAACTACTCCCTCCTAAATTTGAAACTGTTGTGGTTTACAGTATCTTTGACTTAAGCCGTCTCTGTTATTGGTTACCGATTACCGACCAGTCATGTCCTTTTGAATGTGTTGATAATATGCACTACCAGGCAAAAGTTTGGACAACCCTTCTCATTTAATGTTTTTTCTTTATTTTTACAACTTTCTGCATTGTAGATACATACTGAAGACATCAACTATATGAAGCAAGATATATAATTATGTAGCAAGGAAAAAGTTGATAAAAAACTCAAAATATGTCATGGCCGAGGCCGTCTCAAAAGGAAAAGGACTCAATTGCTCGGCGCCAAACAGCATGTAAGTAGTTTGAGTGACAACTTTTATTTTCACCACAAGTGTTCACAACTGGAATGCGAGTTGCACAAGTGCTAAATACAACCACTAAACCTAAGAGGTTTATGCAGCCTGAGCTAAGTGAGCAATCTGGTCATTCGTCAGCGGAAAACAGCTGCTCCGAGGATTGGGCTGGAGGGAGAGTCAACCTGGATAAGAGTCACTGAAAATAGAGTATCAAGTCAAGTCAAGTCAAGTATTTATTTATTGTCATTGTCAAAGAACAATGAAATTGCGTTTGGGGCTTCCGTACAACCCGTAAAAAAACAAACAAATACCCCTTAAAACCCAAGTGTAAATATTTAACCCAGTGTGACTTCAGTGCAATGAGACAATCCTTAGCAACAACATGAGAACAAGACAGGTAATGTTCATAGGACATTCAGACAAAGACCTGAGAAACATGACAAAATGCAACAATGCAACCCGTTCAATATTATTGTACTGTGAGATATGATGGTTGTCTATTTAAGAAAGAGAGGGGGGGGGGAAGAGAGAATAAAGATATAATGCACCAATGCAAACCAGTTCAGTGCTATTAAGAAGTTGGATATGGTTATTGTCCGTGAGAGGGGGGCAGAGAGGGGAGGGGGGCAGAATTCAGGAGCCTCACAGCCTGTGGATACAGGCTGTTGGCCAGTCTGGATGTTCTGGTAGGGTTCGGGAGGAATATGGGCAAGCTGTGTGTTCTGAATCTTCCTGAGTACTGCTTACTTGCCGCGGGTGGTCTGTAGTGGCGTGGAGGGGTTAGTAGTCCGGGTGAGTGGTCCGAAATTCCTGGCGTTGAGGCAGGGAGGCAGGCAGGTGAACGGGGTGAACAACCCGTGGGACTGGCAAGTGGTCCAGCGTCCAGATGGGAGCTCTTCGGCAGAGATTTGCATCCGGCAACTTGATACGTGGAAGGGTTCGCTGAGAATCTGGCAAAGAAAGGTTGAGTGCGCTGGCCTTATGAGTCCCCGGCTTAATCACCCACAGGTGCGAGCAATCAGCAGAAAACAGAGGCCCGTCCCAGGGTTTGAGATGCCGGCTCGGAGGGAGACACACTAGCACACACCCGGACCATGACAAAATATGTTTTATATTTCAGAATAGCCTCATTTTGCTTTGTTGACAGTGCTGCAAATCCTTGGTCTTCTCTCAGTGAGCTTCATGATGTAGTAATCTGACATGGTTTTCACTTTACAGGTGTGGTTGGTGAAGGTTCAATTATGGAATTTCTTATCTTCTTAATGGGGTTGGGACCATCAGCTGTGTTGTGTAGAAGAGGAGACTGTGTGAATCAGGCCTTTATGGTCAAATAACTGCTAAGAAACCACAACTAAGGAAAAGCAACAAGCAGAAGAGATTTGTTTGGGACAAGGAACACAAGGAATGGACATTAAACCAGTCTAAATCTGTAGTTTGTTTGAGTTTGAAATCTTTGGTTCCACCTGCCATGTCTTTGTGCGACACAGAAAAAGTGAACAGATGGTCTCTACATGCATGGTTCCCACCATGAAGCATGGATGAGGAGGTGTTTGGGGTGCTTTGCTGGTGACACTGTTGGAAATTTATTCAAAACTGAAAATACACTGAACCAGCATGGCTAACACAGCATCCTGCAGCGTCATACATCCCATCCGGTTTGAGTTTAGTTGGACCGTCATTTATGTTTCAATAGAACACTGACCCCAAACACACCTCCAGGCTGCGTGAGGGCTAACTGACCAAAAAGATGGAGTGCTGCGCCTCTAGTCACCTGACGTAAGCCCAATGGAGATGTGTTGGGATGAGGTGGACCGCAGAGTGCTCAGCATCTCTGGGAACTCCTTCAAGACTGTTGGAAAACCATTTCAGGTGACGACTTGATGAAGCTCAGTGAGAGAATGCCAAGAGTCTGCAAATGAGTAATCAAAGCGAACGGTGACTATTTTATGGAATCTAAAATATAAAACATGTTTTAAGTTATTTCACACTTTTTTGTTTACTACATAATTCCTTGTGTTCATTCATAGTTTTGATGCCTTCAGTGAGAATCTAAAAAGTCATGAAAATAAATAAAAACATGAAATGAGAAGGTGTGTCCAAACTTTTGACTGGTAGTGTGTGCACCCTCACAGGAAACAGTAATCATTTTCAACGTTCCCCCCCAGTGTGCTTCCAAGGCCTGTCACTCTGGTGAAACTGCACTCACTAAAGCTGCAAATGTCTTATCTTACCTGCTGGATATCAGTGTGTTTTTGACAGCATATGCAGCACAGAGACCAGTGTACATTAACTCTTGGCAGCTAAAAACTGCGGTGTTAAATTTGGAATAACCTTTGTGTTTGTTCGACTGCTTTGATGCTCCCTCTTCTCTTCCTCTCAGGTCTCTCTGTTCCGGATCATCAACCATCCTGGGACCTCTTTCTCCCCCTTGGCTGTCAGTTACTGATGTTCGGATCTGGAGCTTTGTCCTCCAGCTTCTCTTATCTCCCTCTCTCCTCTGTATTTATGCTGTCCTTTTTGTGTCCCTTCTCTAGGTTTGTTTACACGTCGAGGCAACTGAATGTTGTTTCGTGTATTTTTTCCAGGTTGGATATCGACGAGGTCATGGAGGGGGGGCTTGAACTAGATGAAGTAGATGGTGTCAGAGATATGCTGACAACAAAGGCCGTACCATTTACCCAAGATCATTTTTTCAGTCGAACTATTCAGTGGCCCCCCGTGCCCTGTGAGTGGCATCCCTGCCCACAAGAGGATAGAAATGTCTCATCATTGGATTAATATGACCACTCAGAACAAGCTTGTATTGATTTCTGGTAACCTTCCCCTCTTAAAGGACAAGTGGACTCAAAGATATCAGTCAGAGGTAAAGGTTTTGTCATTTTTCTTACATTTAATTAACCATAAACAACACTCCAGTGTGAATTTGCCTTGATATAAACTGATATTTCAGATTTACAATAAGCTGTATGTATGAGGAAAGACTCTAAATGCAATGCGAGTAATTTGATACATTGTCCACATTTTTAAGCATCAACTTTACAGTCTGCCTCTGTAAAATAAGGTTATATTCCAGAGATAAACTTTGATCATATATCTATGAATTGCTTTCATGCTGACTTTCCTTGCTTTTATAAGACTTCATATAAATGCACAAACATAGATAAATGATCTTCATTACAGGTCAAAGGGACCTCTTCTGTAAACAATAGAAGTAATTCGAAATATAAGCTCAATTAACCCTTTTTGTTTGGGTTTATCCTGAATACTAAAATACAGTGAAGAACTTGTTTTATCTTTTTCTGTTATTATTCTTTGGTGCAAACTGAGTGCTAATTTAATTTACAGCATAGCACCAGTTCTCTTCCTCTATTTTAAAATGGCCACAGTTGCTTGGTGTTTAAAATAGAAATATTAAGTGATGAGTGTAAAACTTAATATGGAAATGTAAGTTGTAATTACTAGAATTTTATCTACAACCTTACACTGCAAAAGTGCAATGCCATTTACTACAATTCTGTTATGTACTACTCGTAAAAAAAAAGCAAATTCTAGTACTTTCTGCACAAGCTTCTCCTTTAGTGTTTTTGTGTAAAAAGCAGATTTTTTTCAACAAGTAATTTTTCCTAAAACATAAACTGCACGGCAGAGTTGATTAAATTTTATGTGAAAGCTCAGTTATATGGTAGAAGGTAGAATCAACATACTTTTTTTACTTTCTAAATAAAGTAATTTTAAGCAGTTCTTGCAGTTAGTGCACTTTAGCTAAGTCTCTAAAGGTTTGATCTTGATGTGGATGCCATTGAGTGAGCGGAGAACCAGTCGGGGGATGATCTTGGGTTTCATAGTGGGCTCCGCTATGAGCTGGTATCGCTTCAGTGTCAGAGCTGTCACCACTTTCATCTCATTCATAGCAAAGTTCTGACCGATGCAGTTTCTGCAAAATACATAAAATGTAAGAAATACACAAAGACCTGAAAAACAATTAAAATAATTTGATCCTTCTGAGATTTGGACATGCAGAAAATGGAAAGGAGGGATAAATATAGTATGTTATCTTTTAACATTCAGGTCCAAAGGTGCTTGTATTTTAAATGAGATCAATCTTAGATTACAGTGAGTTCCCCCTTTCCCCTACTTGCTCTAGCCCAGTGGTTCCCAAAGGGGGCGGCACGGTATGAAAAAAACAAAACAAAGAATGCTTGGACACTGCTAGCATAATGGACAGGTTTTTGACAGGGCTCCCACACAAACGCAAAGCAGAGGATGAAGCATCGCCAAATATGGTTCCAAACCAACTTCCTTCCAAGCCAAAGACTAGAACATGGTAAATGGTAAATAGACTGGTTCTTATATAGCGCTTTTCTACTCTGAGCACCCAAAGCACTTTATACAACTCGTTCATTCACCCAATCACACACAAGCACTTTTCTAAGTTTTTCGTGCTATCTAACTATCATTCATGCATACACATTCACACTCGGATGGATGCATCGGGGAGCAACCTGGGGTTGGTGTCTTGCCCAAGGATATTTGGGTAAAACAATGGGGGGCCTAGCAACAAAAGTTTGGGAACCACTGCTCTAGCCCATCATAAAACCAGTTTGCTGATGGAAATTGGTTCAGTGCTAAGTTACACATTCACATACTTGAGACTACTACAAGCAGTCTCTATACAGTGATATAGTTTCAGGTGAGGACAAACCTTGGCCCAGCTGAGAAGGGCACAAACGCATGAGGGGATCTCTTAGCAATGTTCTCTGGTAGGAAACGCAGAGG